AGGGAGCCCGATGCGGGGCTCGATCCCAGGACCCTGGGATCATGACCTGAGCCGAAGGCAGATGCTTAACCAACTGAGCCACCCAGGCGCTCCTATATGTGTAATGTAAAAATTAGATATTTCATTAAAGGGAGATTTCCATGAAAATAGTTAAGAATTGATTTGATGTTAAAAAAAGATAATCTTTGATTATTAAAAAATTGCTTATATGAAATTCTGCCTGGAATTACTAAGGAATTACTGAAGAAAGTTTGAAGATATAAAAAGAAACAAAATTTTTCATTACTCTAAAGTAGCAAAAAATAAATTTGATACTTTAAAATTAATTTTCATTATTGTATATACTTAGGTAAGAATTAGATTGGTTTATTAGAGATTGGTTTTATCAGTTTTGAAAATGAAAGAATTTTATAAACAGATTAGTAAAATATGGTTTGTCCACATGTTCAGAGTTATCTTCACTAACATTCACTTAGAATGTTCCTTACTTTTCTTTGCCTTAGTTGTGGGAGAATAAACTAATGCAGTCTAGGGCAGTAGATGGATTTCATTCGGAAGAGCAGCAGCTTTTATTGCAAGTTCAGCAGCAGCATCAACCCCAGCAACAGCAACATCACCACCACCACCACCATCAGCAAACTCAGCCACAGCAGACGGTACCTCAGCAGGCGCAGACCCAGCAGGTCCTTATTCCTGCATCACAGCAAGGTGAGACTGGATATATTTTTCTGCTTACAACTTGGAAATGAAATTTGTCATTTTCAAAGAAGAGAGATACTGTAGGTTTTTCCTTTCTATTGACTGAGTGGGTAGTCTACACTATTTACGTACAAATTTTGTATAAAACGTGGATTCTGTATTGTAGTAATGATAAACAAGTAGTTAACTAGTTGAGAGCCTAAGATGATATAAGTGTATTAATATTTTTTTTGAGGAGGCTACATAATGGTGGATATCCTAAAATACATCAGACCTATAAAGATTTATTTACTAAGGGTTTCGTTATTTTATGTGGTAAAATCGTTACCTACTTTCTTTATGAAATTGATTTATTTCTTCAAAGACATTTAAGTTTGGTTTTTATAAATACATCTTAAACACTGGGGGAGTTTTGTAAGTGTGGCAGTCTGAAATTTCAATTCCCTAATACTTTAAATGTAAATTGACTGAATTAGATTTCTTTTAAGTGAAGGGTATATGTACATAACATAATTTATTTACTTAGTTTAGAGGTAAGAAAAACCAAGTATTTATAGAGTGTCCATAGTGCTTTGTACTGTGCAAGTAAATTTATAGATTTGTTTCATTGAAGCTTTAAAAAAAGGCTTTGTGAAGTAGCTCTTCCAACATTTCAGTGCTAAGGAAAATTTGGGCCCTGAGAAGGCTAGGAAGCTTGGTCTGTTACATGTAATAAGTATTTTCTGTCTTGACACATATGTATTTGGTTATGAAACTTACCTAGCATTTAAGTTTTGTAAATCTTGTTACTGGAGAGGAGAATGAAGATAAATGAAAAGTTTTATTTTAAGGTAACGGTTTAGTTACCCATTTGCCTCATTTGAGAGTATCTGAGAATATATAAGACTTAAAATTGATAGTGATATATAGTAAGTAATGCATGGTAGAAATGTCTCTTTGGATTGTTTTGCTGTTTATACCAAATAAGACTTTTAATATTTGGTTTTATTCTATACCTGCATCAAATAATTTTATCCTTTTGATCTGTTTTGATGACTGTTCCTCCTATTGCCTTCAGGCCTGGCACTAGGATTTTAGGTCATCATAAATTAAAATTTGATTTTCTTCACTCAGAGAATATTAGGATAATGGGATTATCTGTTTATTCTCTGAAATTTGCGGAATCAAACACTTAGCTCCTTTTATACTTACGTAACATTGCCATTCTTTCTTTCTTCCATTTTTTTTTTAACATTGCCATTATTTCTGATTTATATTTTTTAAAAAGTTGGTGGAAGTAACTTAAGATTCTGGCAACTGTCAAATGGGAGAAGAGGGCTATGTAGATTAAAGACAACTAGTTAATAGTTTTTTTGAGCTCATTCTTAATGGGTTACTAACTCATTCTAACAGTAGTAGTATATCAACAAAACAATATTGAGTTAGCAAGACAATTAAGTTTTGTTTGAAAATTTCCAGTTTAAGAATGCACAGAGCTGTGTGTGTGTGTTGTGTGTGTATATATATATATATATATATATATATTAGGTATCTCATTACTTCATGTTCCCAAATTCCTTTGTATCCTTAGGTGTTGTTATTCAAATCTTTTTTTTAGTTGATGTTGTCTAGTATAAGATGGGTATATCACAGCTGTTATTTGCCGTAGAAATTGATAACAGTCTGAGGTATCAAATAGGTGAATGCATTTGAATGCAGAAAACAGGAAAAAAGTTTTCAGCATTGTATAGTATTCTTAGGATTATGAAACAGCCTCATGGTTCCTTGTTTGCACTTGTACTTTTTTTTTTTTTAATAGCTGCTGCACCACAAGTTATAGTTCCTGATTCTAAGCTGATACAACATATGAATGCGTCAAACATGGTAAGACTCAGAACATAGCATTTTGGCTCTACTTATTCTAACTCAAAATTGTGATTATGCCCAGGTATGTTCTGTATTAACAACCTGAAGTTTATTCAAAACTTGAACAAAATGGCTGTTTTATTTGGTTTCCTAATTATTGGATTTAGCAGCAGATCTAAAGTTTAACTTGATATTTAGACATAGAGATTCATAAAATTATGCAGTTTTCTGTTGAAAATACCAAAAGAATGATGCTTTGTGAGAGCTCTTTCATCCCAGGCTATTTTTGGAAAATGGGTTTAGGGGACCTACCAAACATAATATGCCAATTATAGTTGTTTCAGAAGACCCATTAATTACTAGAGGTCAGGAATGCTAAGAATTATAAACTTTAAAAATGAAAATGAACTGTTTGGATAGTTCAGGGTAACTGTTTTTAAGACCAAACCTTTAAAAAAATTTTTGCTCTGATTTAACAATAGCATAGCTTAATAAGATTTATTACAATGTGTACATTATTACTTTAAAATATATTTTAACCAACTGAGTTTATTATGCATTAGTCTTTTGGTATTTCTAAAGGATATTCACTGAACCTAAGTCCTCAAATTTTCAAATTTCATTTAGGGCATGTAGTATTTCCCATCAAATACAGTACCATATAACTAAAATTAGAAAAACTACTTCAGATTCTTAGAGAATCTTTATATACTTAAAGTTTTTTTTAATAAGACATTAAAATGAAGTTTTATTAGAATAATTATTCCAGCACTTTCTCATAAATGGCTTTTCTTTGTTCTGTTTACAGTAAACAGACTTGTTAGTGGAGTCTCACCTCTGACATTCTTAAATTAATCCAAATCTTTTATTTAAAGGCAAGAATCACTTTTAAAAAAATCTCTTACTGCTAGCAATGAGATTTTTTTTTTCAGATAGTTCTTTTTTTTAATGAAAAAGCAAAAATATATATTTTTCAAAGATTTATTTATTTTAGAGAGGGATGGGTGGGGGCGGCGTAGAGAGGGAAAGAGAGTCTTCAGCTGACTCCACACAGAACGGCAGAGCCTGATGCGGGGCTTGCTCTCACAACTCTGAGATCATGACCTGAGCCAAAACCAAGAGTTGAACACGTAACCGACTGTGCCACCCAGGTGCCCTGTAAAAGCAGTACTTTAAAAAATCACTTCTGTTTGGTGAGTAATGAGTAGTTAACCTCAAAGCTCATCTGTGATTGATAAGCCAGATAGGAAACAGGGCTTACGTACTAGACAAATGACTCCTTTTTAAATATACCAGCCTTACAAATTTATAGCTTGACAGAATTACAAATTTCTACATGATAGTAGAAATTACAGTTTTTAAATTCACAAAAGAATCAAGGATATCTATTTGTCCTTGTAGTTCAGATTGCTGGAATCAGTTCTTCATAAAAATCACAAAATTCCAGCCTATCATAGAATCACAAGAATTTTTATCATTCAGAAAATTACATTTCAAGTCTAAGGCCCCAAATTTCTTAACCTCCGTTCTTAAAAATGAAAGTCTCACTGTAGGATCTATATTGCAGTTTATGCTATTGAGACTGTTTCCTAGGGAGTAACTTGTGTCCTTTCGTTTTTTAAGATTTATTTATTCATCTAACAGAGAAGGAAGGAGAGAGCATGCGCAGACACAATGCAGGTGGAGGGACAGAGGGAGGGGGGTGCAGGCCCCCCGCTGAGTGCAAAGGCAGACACAGGGCTTGATCCCAGGACCCTGAGATCATGACCTGAGCTGAAATCAAGAATCGGCCACTTAAAACACTAAGCCACCCAGGCGCTCTGACTTTTGTCCTTTCAAAACAGAAAATTTTGTAGAATGACTTGCAGTAGGCCCATCTGATTTCTAAGAATTTTAAGTTTTGAAAGAAAATTTTGAATTAAAATAGTGTTTAAAGAGACTGGGGCAAAATTAGTGGCCCATCTCTTACTTGTTATGTCTCCCTTGATTCTGAAGAGCATGTATTTAAACAGATCATAGGTCAGAAACATCTATCAGTAAAAGGTGTTAACATTTATGGGTATTTTAGTATTTTAGTTGATGTTTTCAGTGTTTGCCCCATGTATTTTATATGTTCTGAAGTACAGTCACTGTAGGCTCTTTACAAATAAAAGTTTTTTGGTTTTTTTTGTTTGAATTATTATTACTGATTCAAAGATACCCATTTGATTGATTTCCGTTTTCTTTTTTTAATTCAAATTTTAGGTAGTTAACATACAGTGCTATATTGGTTTCTGGAGTAGAATTCAGTGATTAATCACTTACATACACTACCCATTGCTCATCATAACAATTGCC